AATTTGCTCTTTGGTCTGCTGCAACGGCGTTGATCCTTGCTGGTCTGGTCGATTCGATGCCGTGTTTATGTCGCGCTCATGGAGGGGATTCGTATGAGATATCGACGACTTGTTTGCTGAGTGAATCGAGTTGCGGATAACAGTGGGTAATTTATCAAGCTCAATCTCCTCAATGGAAGCCATGACGAGGCGAAGGAAAGACCCTGGAAAGACCTGATTTTGTCAGAACTGGATGACAGTCCGATAAACGGATTCACACACTACTTTCAAGTTCTTCGTGAGATTTGTAGTGTGCAAGAATGTACAAGAGTCCAAGTTCTTCCAAGTTCTTCCAAGTTCGAGGACCAGAATACTTGATGGTAGTGCGAGCACAAAGGGGTCTGGTCACTGGCTGCTGACGAGACGCGGGGTCGGAAAGAATTTATCCGAGGAAACACCGTCGCCACTTCATGACCCTAGTATCAAAGGACCTCGGAAACTACTATCAGACCTTGTCCGGCCAAGTACCCTAAAATACGCTATTTCGGACAGGGACGTGAATCCAAAAAATAAATTAAATTAAATTAAAATCCTGAGCGCTCCTACAGGCTTCTACGTACGTTAAAAACGACCTGAACTCATCTCTTGTGAAGAACATAATCTAACGACGACGGGATAACGTTGAAGTTATTTTTGTATGTATCAGACTTCGACTCGTATTTTTCTGGCGCTTCAACATTGTGCGTCCAGTCGAAAATTTCGGTTCGGCGTGACAGCGCCCACCTAAAGTACGCTATATTAGGACAGGGAAGCTGATGTTTTGGCGTAAAATACGCTATAATCGGACAGGAAAATCGCCAGAATCGCGACCTAAAATACGCTATTCCGGACAAAGTTTGGGGTGAGTTTCCGAGGTCCTAGTATCAAGCACTTGGCGCGTTCAAAGAACGTTAGCCTGCTTAGATTTATGGGCTTGTCATGCATTAGTAAAGGATAGCGAAAGGGTAGCGAAGCTTTTTGACAAGGAAATTCTGGGAATGCTGGGCGCAACATATAGTAAATATATTCACAGGAAGAAGCAGTGATTGCCATGAGCGATCTGAGGAACAGTCCCACGTGGGGTGGTAGGAATACGAACAGTGGCAGTGCCACGCCACACTCGGTTCGTTCCTCTCCCCTATCGCCTGGATTAGTCAACCTTCAAGATTCAAGCCTAAGTCAAGCCCTTAGAGCTAATACACTTTGGGCGACCGCTATTGCTCTGCCACCTCTGACATCAACACTGATTTGGCCATTCTTTAATGCCAGAATATTCATCATCATGATCTTTCCTGTTATATTAATCTCTCGAAATTGGTGTATGTACCTCTTCAAGCCCTCTGTTTTAGCCTCCTCGGATATAGAGCTCTGCCGGATATCCACACGGATTTTTTTTCCCAGCAAAAGCGCGCTCAAATCCCACTCTCTCTATACAGCTCTGATTTCTGTTCTCGTCTCATTTTTTGTTTCAATTCATCTGTCAAATGCATTTTCGCGCATTTCTCAATCAAGCTAAGTGCGGCGATGGTGAGTTGTCTTTTGGTCTACTTACTTCTATCCTGAGAATAAAATCAGTAAGATGTATCGTCAGGTATCGTCACAGTACACAGATCCACTTGAAAGCCGTGGTTGCTTTATGCTGCTGACAATAAGTATGCTGGCATTGTAGCGTGCAGATGCGCCTTTGGTTAGCCATCCATTTAGCGGCACCGTCAATTTTTCGTTCAAATCTACTAATTCGCTCATCGAGTCCTATGTCAGCAATCCGGTAACATATATATCCGCTTGGATCTTCTTTCAACTTTGTTAAAATCCGTTCAATTGCTTACGATTTTCTGCTCCCTTCCTAGATTATCAATCGAAGCCTTCTACTAAGTACCAGATCACTGGATTCAGAACCAAGTCCAACCAATAAGGAAGGTGATTGGCACGGATGGTTCCGCACGGCGGATGATTCGATGCATCTAAAGTTGGCGTACGCGTGGCTCCTTCCCGTCCCATAATGTCCTCGGTTCGGACACTACTGAGTTTCCCTTATCTTTATTTTTACATATAAAGCAGGATTTTGACGTGACCGAGTAATCCTGGTATTCCTTGATTTTGTTGCCATTAATCAATATACGACACAGAATTATGTTTGACGCATGCATATACAGTATGAGAGGAGTAGGCATTAAGATTACTTGTAGCGAATCGGATGTATGATAGGTAGAAGATATTCCAAAAGATTAACAGGAAGCTGGTATTGCAAGATAGTCCCAAAAGTCCAAACGAGTGATTACAATGTGCCGGTGGCGTCGTTCCAGAAAATATAACGATAGTGAGCCCATGACCTTGGTGGTGGGTGGTAATGATATTTTCCCTCAGAACAAGAACAATAAGTATGCGTATGCGAATGTGTACAACAACAGTAACTGGTATGAAAGGTGGTGGTACAAGCCAATAGTTGGTGTTTTCCTTTTCATGCTAATTTCGTCTTCCGGCGTAAAGGTCGTAGAGAGTTATACAAGTGAAGTGGAACCTGGAAGTCGGATCGAAGATAATAAGCACCCGAAATGAGACATATTAGCGAAACCCACTTACAGGCATGATGATGCTTCCGTGAACGAGAGATCGAGTCGCTATACAGTATTGTGCTCGCTATGAGGATAGAATTCCTGCAGCGGCTTCAGCCCTCTCAACCTCTTCCTTTAACGCGTTCCTTCCCTCCTCTAGCCATTGGCAATATTCGACGGCTCTAAATAGGACCCCACTTTTGCCCTTTGCTCCTTCGCTTTCACTGCCTTTCGCCTGCTTACCCTTGGTGCCGCTCCCTTTCGGTCTACCCCGTGTAGGCATTACTAGCCCCGGTCCAGAGCCTTCCGGGGCAAGTAAAGTGATAAGCTTGCGCATATCCGTCTCGGATGGCATTTCGTCGCTTCTGCTCCGACATGATATGATTAAGGCGCTTCTGGGGAGTAGAAAGGAGGGGCTTTGTTCGCGACAAGGGTATTTCAGGATGGGAAGCGGGATATGCGTGTCTAATTAGAGACGGTGAGGGAAGTGTATCTCGACGACTGGAAGGTATCGACGCATCGCCGAGATTCAGATGAGCAAATTGCGTGGAAGGAGTGAGTGTCATCGAGGAAGACGCTCGATTCGACGTGTTCAACGGCTGGCCTACACTATGACCCCTTGACGGAAGCCGGCTCATCCTTAATGATGGGGTCGAGTGCATTGGGTAGCTCTTTCGACGACTACCAGATGGATTTGGGATGAGATCTAGGTGCGGATTGGAATATGGGGCCCCATTTGAAGGCATCGCATGTTGTTGTTGTACACTGTTCATACCATGCCAGTCAACAGCTTGCTCTACGGGCTCGAGCTTAACACCCCAATGAGTATGATCGTCACGATTGCGATCAAATCCATCGAGGAAGCTCAAAAGCCGATCTGTCTGGCGAGCAGTGAAAAGCTCTGGAGATGACTGCCCAAGTGGGGGTGAATGAACAAAGTTGTCCATGTGTCTGAGTTGCGGGTTAAACGTAAAATGATGATCGGCATAAGGCATCGGAGGGTGAAGGACAGGATAGGTCATCATTTCGTCGGAGTGTAGAGGTGTCAATTCTAGGAGAGCCTGAGCGTTCAACGTTCAAAAGCCAAGGGAACAGAGAAAGAGTGAAAACAAAGATCAGTCAGACGACTGTACTTATAGAAACATGATGAGAAATTTTTCGATTGCGTTGACTAAAGTGGACTGAGAGTGCGGTGTACTAGTTACAGTAATGTTACCGTCAGTCAAGATGTATCCCTATCAGCAACCCGCATTTCGTAGATCAACCCGCCGAGGTGCCCAATATTTTTCGGTACCTGCGTCTCTGATCCTCAAAGCGTGATCATTGATTAGACTTGTTTTTGGCAGCTTTTGGCAACTTAATAGGAAGAACCCGAAAGAACCAGTGAGAATATGGGAAAGATCATCTCTTTCTGGCAGGCCACAGCCTAAGTTCTTGTCGACCGTCGAATGATATGTAGGTTATATGATGGCGCATCGTCGCTGGGAATTTTAGATTAGAACATATAACACAATACAGTTGAGGTAGAGTTTGCGAAGAAGGTGTTACCGCCGATCGCCAAACTCAACATAGCACCATCCGGTCTATTCCGGCCCGCTAGCGGTGCACGTTCCAACGACTCGAACAGCGATTATGGCTCGAATCCTGCTGCTGTAGTGGTCATATCAACGGCTCTCATCATATTCTTTGGCTTCAGTTCCGTGCGGGCTATTGCGCGCCGCATAACACGAATGATTCCGCTTTGGATCTTGATGTCGGATTCTTTCTGAGGTGGTAGTAAGTAATCTATTCTTTTCTCTATTCATCCGTTCTTGGACAGTTTGATGCCTGTTTTTAAGGACCTTCTGATATACTTGTGAGCTAAGGATCTGACATTTTCCACGAACTGCCTTAGTAAGAGGCCTTGGGCGACACATATGGGTACCCATCCGGAGTGCAGCCACTGCCGCTGGTTGTTACTGTCCGTATATGCGCATGCATTGGCGTTGACACCCAAGCTGGCAGTAGAAGGCAGTAGACTTGATCAAAGGATCACTCCTAAAGTTCTGAAACTCCCTCGCCCTTGATTCCTCACAGGCTTACAAGATATGTATGAGTGTTCTCAAGAGGCTATCAATCTATTACTTGAATGTAAACACTATCCTGTTAACTACCGTACAGCCCGATCCTGAGCTTCACATTTAGCTCAGCTGAAGGGGGTTGAGATGATCTACACTTGAATCCCCGGAAAAATCCTATTGACCTTGACGACGCCTTGAATCAAGAATGATCTTTGTACATTAATATGTACAGCTTAGTTCTCCAGCGGAAACTAGCCGAGCGCGCGAGACCCCAGTTCAACTTCATCAGTAAAGCATGGTCTCCCGAGTTACGGTACTGTATCCAACGCGTCTTATCAGAGTTTTCACAGTAGAATCTGTACAGTATGGAGAGATGGCCGAGTGGTCTAAGGCGCCAGAATCAGGAGTCTTGTTATCTGGTCCTCCGGGGCGTGGGTTCGAATCCCACTCTCTTCATATATTTTTGACAGAATAGTTATCTGTTTCTTTTATTTGTGGCAGTTGCTCTATTCAAGTCAAGTTTTCATATATGAAGCAGTCTATGTATTTAGCTATCCCCAAACATAATCTTCAAGTTTTCAATGCTATCAGGGTCCTCCTTGCCGTCTTTGGGCTTCCCAGAACTTCCCCGGAATGCTTCTTTCACAAGCGCTGTTTTACGTTTCTGAATTTTGAGGATGCGACCCTCAATGGTGTCGCTGATCTAACGGAAATAATGTAAGCCAACGTCAGATGCAAGTGAAGAAACACAAACTATGTAATGCCGAACATGTACAGGCTTATCCTGACCGAGACGATGTACGCGGTCAATAGCTAAATTTAACAAACAGAAACTATCAGTGATAAAAAGGAAACACTTTTCCCTGTACTATTCACCCTGGTTTTCCGTCGCCGAATTCCACCAACAATCCATCTGTGTCCAAGGAAATGTCAGAATAAATTTTCAAAAAAACAAAGCATAGAATGCTTACCATGAATACATAATTTGCTACAGTCAACTGTCCAATCGTTGAGGTCGATATCTTGGGTATGATCTAAAAGACTTACATTTAGCCCGACGCCTCCAGCTTTCAAACTAATGCAAAGGATTTTTGGTTTGGTCGAAGGTTGCTTGAAGGCTGTAATAACTCCATGGCGCTTTTTCACGTCCATCGATCCATCATACCGATAATGATCAAAATTCTCTCGCTTCAAGGCGGTCTCGATGAGGTCGAGGAAACCGGTGAACTGAGAGAAAACCACTGCGCGGAAGCCGGAGTCCGTCGCGCGAATGCGGTCTAACACGGGAGATAATGTAAACAAACATCGTTGCCCAATGATAACGACATACGTACGAAGGTCGTTTATAAGAGCTGTCAGCTTTGTCGATGAAGGAAAGTCGTTTCGGCGTAGAACTAGGTCTGGATGGGAGTCCTGAGAGCTCGGGAGGGGCCGGACGACTTCTACGAGGTCGCTTGGCTACAGGCAGATGCCAGGTGGTTTCAGATAACTGGCGGGCATGATATAAAGGATACTTACCTTGATTGGACCACGAGAACAACTCGGACACTTGGTTTCTTCTCCCTTCATCTCACATGTCGCAATATAGGCTGTGATACAGTCTTTGCAGCTGCGGAGTTAAGTTGCTCGTGAACTTATGTATATCGAGCTCAGGCAGTAAACCACAAACCATTTGTGCAAACATCCTGGAACAATCATGGGTGTCGAGATCACATCCAAGCATATGGGACACTCTGAGCCATCCCCAACTTCATCCTCCAGATTCGCGAGAACAGTTTCCGCAAATACATTCGACTGTTCGTTATCTTCGGTAAACTTCTTGATCATCTCATTGACATCGACAATGCCATTGTTATCGCCTGCCGGTGAAAGAGCCCTTCCATCTTTCTCCGTAAACACGAGGTGCGGGTGCAGGACTGCTCTGCGAAGTCTAAATTGCGAATGATCAGCAATCAATCTCAGTCAGAACGAGTCGAACGTACCTCATGAGCATCGCCAAGATGTGTGTATAATTTTTGCTCAGTAGTCCCTTCGAATTCAGAAGCTCAAATTTCTTCTTTGAAGAGTCATAGATCGTGTTGTAAATCTGTCGTTCCCATGTGGTAAATTCGAGGTTTTCGACAATAATCTAGCAAAGTAATTTATTTCAGTGCCGTCGAAGATGGTAGAAACAGCATCTCGCACCTCTTTAGGTGGTAAATCTACAATCCTCTTGCCGTTGCTGTCACAAAAAGTCTTTTCCCGTCGCAAAAGAATGGACTCGAGAATGACTTGAACAACCTCTATCCCTTTAGGATCACGGGAAAGAAATGGCAGGGTGATGAAACTAGTTCTTGTGAGCCACTGACAATATCAAAGGTATGCAAATGGACATACGAATTGAAAAACGAGAAATCTGCCCACGGCTTGAAGTCGAGAAATTTCAGAAGGGAATATAGGTCTTCGAGTTTGTTGACAATAGGTGTTCCTAATACCATTCATCAGCCGAATATAAGAAGCCACTCGAAAATTAGCTCACCGGTAACTGCCCAGCGTCTACGAGCCCGCAGCTCATATACTGCTTTCGCAGTTTTACTAGTACGAGATTTAATAGAATGTGCTTCATCGAGAACCACCCGAAGCCACTCGACTGTGTATATCCTTGTCAATGAGCTTCCTTTTCAAAACTTGTGGAGAAAAGTTACCATCAAACATTGGCGAACTGGACTTCTCGTGCTCAGATGAAAGAGTGCCATAGGAGGAAATGACGACTTTGATAGGTTTTGTTGAACCATCATCTTCATCGTTGTCGTTCTCCAGGATGTCAACCAGATCATCACGGCGGTTTTGACCATGCCAGACCATGACATCCACTGTTCCGGGTTTGCTAGATCTCTCAATCTCTTCTCCCCACTGATCTATCAATGAAGTCGGGGCCACGATCAAAGTTGCGGATGGCGGTAAAGAAGGTTTCTTCTTTCTGCTCGTTACTGGTCGGAAAGCATTACTGAGTTTGAGTTGGCGTTGCTTTGAGGAGGAACCTTGGTCGATGGGTTCGTCGGAGCCAAGATTACTTTGGATCAAAGCGGATATCATGATGGTTTTCCCTAATCCCACTAACAAGGAAAATTTAGCTCACGCAGGGTAAAGAGCAGAGAAAATCTCTTACTTTCTAGTGCGAAAGAGAAGATTATTTAAAGAACGTCAATATGAATCCAAATCCAAGCACTGAGTATGTTACCGTCACTTGAAGAGATGTTAGGATTGAGTACAAGAGGACACGAAAAACAACTAACGCCAATATTCCACCCTTGCAATTACGCTCTGCTTTCGGAAAGTCCAAGGTCATTTCCCCCGAATACGGATTAAGATAGAAAGGCTTTTCATCTGCCGTCAAATCAATCAATCCCGAACTATCAGGTTTGGATGGGAAAGCGTATCTGGTGCAGACTAATTGAGAGAAGGTGTATCGTTTGCAACGAGAAAACCTACTCGGTCCATAGTGGATGCATAGAATTGGCCTCTCGAGCGTCCAACTTGCCGGATTCTAGCGAATTCATCCAGCTGTGCAAAGAAATCGTCAACGGAGGCCAGATTAGAAGTGGAAAAGTTTCACCATAACGCTTGCTTCTGATAACCGCGTAGCGTCAATGCAAAAGACTCTGCTGGTTCCATTTCTTGCATGTCTCGATCGTGGCGTTGCGCACTTTTTTCCACGAGTTAATATATGGTGGTCATAGTGTAAAAAGACGCGCTTCGTACCGTTTATATATGATATCGAGATCCTTTCTCGACAAGTCTTCCCCGTCTTCGACCTCAATCTCCTCCCCGTCACCAACAATTTCGACATGCTTTTTGCGAGTTGTTTTCTGTAACGCTTCCTCTTGAAGCTCACGTTCAGATGTTCCTGGTCTAAGCCCAACTACTTCAAAGAGTTTGACTACGGCGCTTTTCCGCTCCCGCAGGGTCCTCTCTTCATCAGTCTCTAGACCCTCTCCAAACATAACTCTGGGGCGATCATCCCCTGTTAGATTGAGCGGTATAAATGCGGAGGGAAGAAGGTATGCGTCAACTGAAACGATGAGGTTGGCACCTGTCGTCAACTTCTTTGGACAATCGGTCATTTTTCCTCGTAATTCGACAATCCCTGAAAGTCAAAATTAGAGCCTACATTCAAACATGGAGATGGTACAAACCGAGGTCGAGCAGCTTCGCGGCCCACCAAGCAACTTCCTGAGGAAGCCTTCCAAATTCTATGGAAGGTATGAGTTGACGCGTCAAGTATAAAGCTATGAACGCGCTCACCAATATCACGAGTAGTGACAAGGCGTACGATGGTATCCACCTTCTTTTTAGATGATTTAGATGCTTTGGCAGGCTGCGCTTTTAGCATAGATGCGAGTGACATCTGTTTCTTGCCACTGTTGGTTTTCGTGTTACCATCTTTCTGCTTTCCTTTGGTGTCTTTTTTGGAATTATCTTCTTCGCGCTCTATCCTAACCACATCATTGATTTTCACGTATCCTGAGCCAGCCATGGTGCTCCATGCGTTGGGAATGACGAATTCTCCAATATAGATAGGCTGTTTGATCGTGTCCGGAGTGGCTACAGATGGAGACAGACGCCTTTTCTTCGTTGGAGGAGGTTTCTGACCTTTCTTCTTCGATGATGGGCCCGCCTCTTCGTCAGAGTCGGATGAAATCGAAATATACTCTGACATTGAGGAGGCGCTGACACTGCGCGCGCGCGGCATTTCCACAGTGTCCATTGGTTCGAGATCATCGTTATGAACGTCTGGAGAGCTCCCTCTTTTCTGTGGGATCATGGGAACGTCGTCGTCGTCGCTCTCGGCTGGAAGAAAGAGCCTTTTCTCTGCTACCGTTGAGGATTCAGCCTTGGGTTCATCGGTATCGACAACCATGGCCGTGTCTTCATCGTCAGAGCCAGCAAAGAAAAGAGAAGGAGCGTCGTCTGCTTCAGTCATGTCAGTGGAAAGAGACGCGAAGCGCGTCCGACTCCGTGCTGAGTCAATAAATAAATAAATAACTTGGCACGTGAGACAAAAAACGCCTCTTCTTCCGCGTCTTTCTCAAAATGCAGCGCGGGCTTCCAATGGTAAATTGACCGTCAAGTGCCCGTATATATATTACTGACGATAGAATTGCCAGCAACCCACTGTGGTTGTCCTCAAAGAGGGCACCGATACGTCTCAAGGGAATCCGCAATTATTATCGAATATCTCAGCATGTCTTGCGATTGCCGAGACCTTATCAAGTACCCTTGGTCCAAGAGGAATGGACAAGCTCATCGTATCAGATCGCGGAGAAGCTCAGATCACCAACGATGGCGCTACAATCTTGAAGCTGTTGGACATTGTTCATCCAGCAGCCCGAACTTTGGTCGATATTGCTCGTGCGCAGGATGCTGAAGTCGGCGATGGAACCACAAGCGTTGTCCTTCTTGCGGCTCAGCTCCTC